GAAAGTTGAAAAGGTGAAAAAAATTATTGATTTCTTTCTATAAAGTGAGAGTGAAGGAAAATTTAAATTGACATGTCCTTTATTTACTGTAGCAATTAAACATACTTTATACCTCCAGTGGGTAACTTTGGACTAATGCAAGCAGACCCATGTTGATATAAAATAATATTTGCAAGTGCTGATGCAGTATCGATATTGCTTTCAAAGGAAAATTCTAAATATATAAATTGTGTTTGTGTTGATACTAGGATAGGAATGGTATAGCAAGAATACCTAGTGCCTTCAGTAAAAAACCTAGGACTAGTGTAGACAAGCTTGTTATTATATACTACTTGTAAGTGCCAGTTAATTCTATTTGCTTTCAGTGGAAAACCCTGGATTAATATATGGAATTTTATCGACAACAGATTAATTTTAAATATCAATTTTTTATTTCATATTAGTAGAATATTATATATATTAAGCTAATTTAAAATGTCTCAATTTAGAAACCTTCATTGTTACTCTTTATTTTCTTATAATACAAAAATATGATAATACAATAAAATATACTATATTTTTAAGTAAACTGATATATCACTTATTAAAGATTTGCCTGACTATTTCTGACCCTAATATCGATATTTATTAGAATATAAATATAATAAAAATACTTGTATATATTTTCAAGTTTATTAACAATAAAACTATATCAAACTAACTAGTGAAGGGATTTTTCAAAGTTCTTGGTTACTTGTAATAATAACTTAAAAAATGCTGCTACTGTTTTAAGGACTGACATTGATAATGAAAAAAATTAAAAAAAAAATCTATAAAAATTTTATAAATTAAAATTTTTGCAATTTTTTTGAAACTGTATTAATTTAACTAAATTACAGATCAGGAAAAATTTATTACCTCAAAAGTATTTTGAGAAGGTACATGCAGCAAAAATGATATATCTTGATTTCTTTCCTAGTTATGATGAAAAAAAAATAAAAGTAAAGTAAATATTTAAAAAAATAAATCCATTGCCTTCCTATATATCTATAATCAATATTGTCTCCTGTTTTCCAAGAATAATAAAAAAAAATAAAGCAATAATAGTTTGTGATAGAGTCTCCAACAAGATAGTACTGGCTATATACTAAAATTATATTAGTCCTGATGTATTTGAACTCATGAAAAGTACAATTATCAATATATTTGTTTTATACTAACAAGTTGCCCAATTGATAAAAATCAAAAAATTGAATCAAGATGCCTTAACAGCTGTAAAGTATATATTTAATTAAACTTAAGTTTTTAATTTTTAAAACTTTATTAATAATAATATTTGCAGGTATCTTTTGACAAGAGAAAGTAGAATCTTTATCCATGTACATAACATACTTGTTAAATTATAAAATTCTGAAAAGCAATATTTGCAAAAAGAGAAAGTTGTAGTAATAAATGGTTTTCTTTTCAACTATGCCATGCATATATTTTCTAAAGATATAATCTCAAGTATACAAAAAAAAATAAAAAAATACAATTTATTTTAGTTAGATGGCAACAAATATGGTGCTATTGACAAAGAAATTACAGTTTCTTTTGATAATAAAAAAATATATTTAAATCATCTTTTAAGTCTATATGAGGCCTATATAGCCTGAAGATATAGTAATTTGCCTACACCAATCTCAATTTTTTGAATTATACAATTGCTGTTACTTGCCCAAGAGGAATATAACCTGTTAAAGCAACTTTTTAAATGGGGAATTAAAGTTAAAATGATAGGTATTTTTTAAACATTCCAAATTATTAAAAATTTAAGTTATTAACAAGTTAAAATTTACACAATTTTTGCTAGAACATACTCTTTATTGCTGATCAGAAAATGAATTATATGAAGATATAACTTGTGGATTGTTTTAAAATTTGATTAAAAAACAGTATCAGCTATAAAAAAATAGAAAGAAGATAAAAAAAAAGTATATTATATGAATTACTAATATAATTAATTATTAACAAATCAATATGCATACTTGAAACATTGATTATAAAAAATAAAGAAAAAAATAATATAGAAAATCAAGTTATTTTAAAGGGTACTAACTATAGTGAAGAGTATATTAATATAGAAGCAAGCAAACAATCATGGATTAAATAAATAAATTTATTTAAATTTAATAAAAGGAAAATTTTTAAATTTTAAGTTAAAAACTTTTTGAAAAGAAATATACTAGTTAGTTAAAATTTTTTTATTAAAATGAATTCAGATTAATTTAAATATATTTAATTTAATTTAATTAAATTAAAGAAATTATAATTAAATATACTTTAAAATAGGTTTAAAATGTATCAAATCAGTTTTAACTTGATTTTGCATTAAATTAAATCAGGTTCAGATTTAAATTAGATCAAATCAAATTAGATTTGAATTCAAATTGAATCGAATCAAATTGTTATAATTTCAAATCAGATTAGATTCATTTAAAATAAATCAGATCCATATCCAATTCATATTTATAAAAACTGGATCAAATCAAATCTAGTTAAAATCTGATCCAATTCTATCTATTATAATTATTAAAGGACAATATTATACTTTCCTAATAGTTTGATATAGTACCTCTAAGTCAACTAGGGTTATTGCCAACAGTTTGTTACTATTTATTATCTCAAAAAATAATAAATTGTTGAAGTTGAAACTAGGAAAAGAGAAAACAAAAAACAATTTAAAGCCCTTCAAAAGATTCTTGCTTTATTTCATAACTTCTTCTCAAAAGAAGTCTTGTTTGATTGGAATATTCTTCTTTGCTTCTTTTAAATCTCAAAAGGAAACTTCTTTATCACTATCTGTAGCATCAAATAAGTTTTTATTTAAGCATGCATCAGATTGGAATAGTTCAAGAGAAACTAAAAGATCTCAACTTTCTTTTTAAAAACTTTTTCATTATTTGATGAACTTAAGAATAAGATGGAATTTTTTTGTGTGAATTCACCCAATCTTTTAATGTCATAACTATTTCCTGGAATTAAATATGTGCAGTTGAAGATGAATTTCTTCTAGAATTTTCTTTCCTATATCATCCATGATATGATAGGAATACATGAGTATGATCAATAGGAACTTGTTTACTTTTTCTGAAATCAACATGTTTCATGACAACCAATTACCTTTGATAAAAATTTGTATTACTCAAAATTTAGGATCAAACTGAGGTAGGCAAAATTCTCTAGAAAACCATAAAAACAATAACTTTAAGAAAGAGGCCCACAAGTAACTGGAAGAGGAGAAAATAAGCTCTTCTGTCATTAAAAACCTTTATATATCTTTTACTTCAAAGGTAAAAAAGACCTTTATATACTTCATTATTGGGTTTTTTTCCTTTGAGAATTTTTTTGCCATTGATATCAAAGGTGTTACTTGACTTGTTTTTGATTATCAAAAGTCAATTTTTAATTAAAGAGGATTATAAATAATTAAAGGAGGATAGAGATGACTTTTGAAGTCATTCTTCAAGAAGTTTTAAGAAAAGTATTTAAGACTTTTTAGCAAAGAAGCAAAAAACTTCTTGTAAACATCTTTTTTTTTATGTATGATCAAAAAATCAACAGAAAAAGTTTTAAAATGTATAAATTATATAATTTATTAATATAAATATTTATATAATATAACATAAAAAAAATAAAAAAATAAATATTTTCTTATTTAAATATATTCCTATTAGTGATTATAATTTATAATAAATAGCATTAATCTTTTTGATAGTGTAATTTTGAATTTCTTTTTGTATCATCTATTTAGAAATTGTTTGAAATTTTATATACTTGAATTTAGTTTTTAAATAAAAGTAAATATAAATTAAAATTTTAATGACTAAAAGTTTTCCTTAAGATATTTTGTTTTGATATTTGTTTAAATAAAAAATCAATTAGATTGATTTATCTTATATAACAAATAATAACAAGGATGATAAGATGTTTTTTAAGATACAAATAAAACAAAAAAAACTACTTTAATTAGTAAATTTCTTTAAGAGGGTTTAGATTGTTTTGATGAATCTTGAATTGTTCCTTTTCTTTCATTTATATTTTTCTTTTTCCCTAGCTTAACAATTTATTGATTTTTGGATTATTTAATAATAACAAACTGTTAATAATGATTTTGATAGATAGTAATTAATTCAATCATATCAAAGAAGTATAATATTGTTTCAAAAATTTTACTTAAAGTACTTATATATAATAATAAATTAGTTGCATTGTAAAAGTCTATAAATTATTGTAGACTTTAATTTCTCAATAAAGACAAGTCATTGTGATATAATTGTGGATTAAAAAAAAACTATGATTTAAGGTAGAATAACAAATTGTTTTCAAGATCAATCTTATACAGTACGTAGACCCTTAATGTCAATAAAGAGTTAATTAAATTAGAATAAAATTTTAACTGCAGATGTATATCCCATGCTGTTTAAATGAATACATAACATACTTTGTGTTCAATTGATCAATATCTAATCCGGCTGCGAGTTAAGTGAATTAAAAAAAAAAATAGATATTATTAAATATAAATTTTAATTTGACTAACAGTTGTTCGTTATTAAATAATATTAGGAATAATGAATAATCATAAAGTTCATTATTAAACAATATTAGGTATAAAAAATAATCAGAGGTTTATTAATAAAACTTTGAATTAATAGGAAACAATATTTCATAATAAAATAATGGTTTCGTTATTTGGAATGGTAATTTTGAATAAGAAAATTGTTGAAAGATTTATTGCATACAGGAGGATGTTGAGAAAGGTTACAACGTAGTTTGTGCCCAAGCTCGATGTAATCGACAAGCACTGCACTTCCGTTAATAATTACTGTAAGAGGCTACTCACCCATGTCGTTTTTCTTATCAAGAAATCCCTATATTTTAACATCAGCAGCAGATATTGCATTTATTGTAACTCTGTTTATCGCAAAATAATAACCGTCTTATGATCTCAGATCTATGAATTTTACATAAAAATGACATGATCATGCTTTTATCTTAGCATAAAGTAGACCTCTGGCCAATTTCATGACTTGAAATTCCGCTAGGCATTTTTCCATTTCTTCCAGTAATAAATTCGTTATATCTGTAGATGCACAACGCTAATGATAAGCATTAAATAAAGATCGAAATGAAGATCAACATAGTTAATCAAAGGAAATACATTGCATCCAATCTCGAGTATTCTTGAGGAGTTGTCGAAGGACGGGTAATTTTCAATGACATTTGCATATGAGAATTAGTTATTATTGTCTGTCGATTGGGTTTAAATTGTTATAAATAATACATATATTTCGAGAAAATAAAATTGAATTCGCGTAAGCAAACAGAAAGATGTACCTTGGGTTTTTTTTGCGAAAAATTTTGGCTTTCATAATCTGTCTTGATAACCTCCTTTTGAGTAAATCCTTTCTTGATGAGCGAAAGCTAAAATTTGGAAACATTATTAAGAACGTTATGGCATGAAATAAGAAACCATATGACAATGTCAGAAATTACTCTTTTCATCGTTTGAGTTCTCTCTGCGGCCGTGAAATTTGTAATCGTCTTTTTAGAATTCATATTAAAGGATGTAAATTGCAATTCACTATCTTCAGAACTTGACACCTTTTCAATAGACTTTTCGGCATCAATTGTTTCGTGAATCGCTTCAAGATGTGCGTTATATAGTAAGGCTTGCAGATCTGCTCCCGAATATCCTTGGCACCTTTTGGCATAGTAGTTTAGGTCTACGTCTTCACCTAAATCTACTTTTCGCGAAAGGGCCATCAATATCTAAGAGATTTATACACGAACGGTTGAAAAAAAATTGAGGGAATAATTACAATTGAAGATACAAAAAATAACGGACCTCAAGTCTTTCCCGAGAAGTGGGCATATTGCAAAATAACGACTTATCTAAGCGCCCAGGCCTTAATAATGCTGGATCTATGAGGTCGGGTCGACTATTTTAAAGGTGTACATATTGAACCAACTGTCATTTTTTCAAAACCTAAGCTAACAACATCATAATACTAATCAGATACCTGGTAGCGGCAAGAACATAAACTCCGTCGAGCCCTTCGGCACCGTCCATCTGAGTCAACATTTGATTGACCACTCTGTCGGTCACGCCAGTACTATCATGTCCTCTATTTATGATATACATAAAAAAGGATTAATTGTTATATCCAATATGCTTTAACACATTCGCCGAACCCATGTATATCATAGTAATTACCGCTTTGGGGCTATAGAATCAAACTCGTCGAAAAATAATATACAAGGTTTTGCGGCCTGCGCGCGTTCGAAAAGATCTCGCACCTATGTGTGGGAATGATTAAAAAAATTTATTTTAAAAAAATAGAAATTGGGACAACCGAATTCCCTCTGGTGACGACATGATGATGGTGACAAATAACATGCAATTACCGACGCTTCGCTGGCACCAATATATTTATTTAGAAGCTCAGGACCTTTGACGCTAATAAAGTTTAACCCACACTCTTTTGCGACCGCGGAAGCAAGCAAAGTCTTCCCGCAGCCTGGGAAACCATACAGCAGAAGCCTAAAAACAATTTTCATGAAATAATTCTAATATGTGCACTAAGTTATTATAAAGATGTTTACCCTGATCGTAATCTGAGAGGGCAATTGGCAAAGATGGACGCGTATTTTGTAGGCCATTCCAAAGTTTCCAACAAAACTTTTCGAGTTTCATCAAGGCCTGGTTGAAAGCACTCACAATTACTTCATGTTTACGGTGAAATTTATCAATAATACTATATATCCTACCTCCTATGTCAGTCCAATTAACGTCCGAGGTATGTAATTTGACATCTCTCAGCGAAAAAGGCACGAAACCTTTTCGAGCATGGTGAAAATCTTCCTGCGTTAACAAGAATTCAGATCCATCTACATTTCCCTGCAATTGCCTGATTGCCCCTTCGTGTATTGCACGTTCTACAAGTACTTTAAGATCAGCAGCCAGATAACCCTCACAGTCGCTCGCAACCGAAAGCAGGTCAACATGAGGTACACTCTTTTGAGCCAATTCTGGACCGGAAGACATTATCGCTTTCAATATCTGTAAACATCATGTTAACGGCGCTCATGGTTTTCGCACTTTGGATAATCGTAATTGTAAATTAAAGGTTAAACTCACGTCACATCTCTCCGACTTTGTTGGAGAATTCAGCTGTGCAACTTCGCTAAACAAGTGACTTGTAATGAGAAACGCGTGAACCGATGTCTGTTGCTGTGCTGTGGCTAAAATAGTGATGCGATGTCTTTTGATCATTTTAGACGCGATGTGGAAGAAACACTCGGACAGTTGTCGAAACCGGAACGAATCTACATGCTAATAAGGTTCAACAGCGTGATATGGTTATTCTGAACTTCAATCTGTCGAGGAAGATCGCAGACCGATGCTCACCTCCACCTCAGCTGGAATTAGTCTGTCAAGGTCATCAAACAATAGTATACTTGGGGCATGCCAAGCCGCATCATCGAAACACTGCTGCAATTTATCCCTAACAGATGATATTCGATCTTCCGACAATTCGACGCATTTAATAACAGAACAATCTAATAATGTTTGAATAGTGTTTATTCAATTCTTTATGATTGACACTAGAATTCGATCGAATGCCATCACAGATGCACTTACAAGCTAAAGTATCTAAATCATACTGCAAATTTGATGCCACAGTTTTTGCAATGCAAGTTTTACCGGACCCATATCCTCCACACAATAACAAACCACCCAAACCTGTTTAAGTTAAAAATTAGAACTTTCCGACGATCACAATGAAATATAAGTCAACAGGGAAAAATATAAACCTGGAACACTCAGGGAATTCCGCAGAGAAACCTTTCCTATACAATATCTCGTGTAATCTTGTAACCTTCGTATCAATTTTTCAACACCACCTAGCAGCGGCAGACTTCCCACGGAAGGCCTATAATTGTCCATGAACATTATAAACCTCGAGAAAGGAACCTTTGGACTAAACGGCAAATGAATATCTTACTGTTTTAGAATCTTGTGATCTGGCATTGAAACATTTTCACCAATTTCAATTTCAACATTCAATAATTGTCTCTTCATCAATATCGTAAATTCGTCTGATGAATCGATTCGTCCATGATGGACATCGTTTTGACTCGCATTTTCATTCCCACCAAAGGTCACTACTATATTTATCTCGTTAACTTTAAGAGATAATTTCATTCTATTTGTCAAAACTATTTCCGAAGAATCAGACAATCTCTCGATCCAGGCTTAAAAGGTAAGATGTAAATCTCGGTTAACAGTTCGTCAAATACATTTGTACAATCTAATAAACGAGCACAGGAAAATCACCTTTGAATGAGGTCATCAACGCGTTTCGAAATGAGTCCTCCTCTGATACATCTGCTAGACTAATGAGAAATGAATAAAGGAAATGCGGGAGGAACCCAATTTTTATGTACTCAACTTTTCACACCTTCACGAACCTGACTCCATTATTATGTTTCAAGGAAGTGGATTGAAAAGGGCTCGATATGAGATGAATCGTTATGTTGGACACTTGGGATGGATTTGATTGTGGGTGCGATAATCTGTTTGAAAGATGGCATTTATTATAAACCCGAACCTAGAGCATCCATGATATTCATCACTCGAGAAATAGTTGGGGAAATTTTACCGAATGATGTCAAATTTTTCGGCATCCAAAGAATCCATTATAGAATTGCAAAGTACTACATGTCCAAGAATTACGTTTGGATTCTCCAAAACCTTAACATAGAGCGCTGCTGACGCGCTATTTTTGTCTCCGTTGTCGGATTTCTCCTCCGAGTCTTTGCGCCTGTGCGGAGGCAATACTTTAGATATCCGTGCGACCTTGGAATCTGATATATTTATATTCGAAAAATCTCTAGGATGAACGTATACGGAACAAAAACAGTTCGCATCCGACTGAATAAGACCATCCGAAAGAAATTCTGCTGGTAGTAAGCGCAAACAATACACGTGAGAGGTGTCTTTCGTTTCTGGTGATTTGAGAATACTATTTAAGATTTTTCTTGGTTTCGGCGTAACGATTATCTCCGAATTCTCGCTTAACTTCGCGCAATTACTCTTGGGACTTATTTCCACTACATGGCACAAAAAAATGTGATTCAGTGGAACAATATGTGATATGAACTAAGAAATAGCACAACTACCTATTTTTAACCGCGTTAGATTTGAATTGATCCAGAGAACGACTATTTGGTTGGGATAGACAACGCGTTGCTGCTGAATGAAATGACCCTCCAAATAATCGGCCCGACGTTCCTACCCAGTGCGGATTCCTCAATTTGAGAAACATGACCAAATTTTATACAGTATACTCGGTTATTTGAGCTTAATCGCCAAACAAATGCCTACCACAATCTCCCAGTCATCAACAGTGCACGGTTCAACGCTTACGGTTCTAGCCTCGGTCGCCGTATCATATAACCCCATCAGTATCTACACGACACAATGGATTAAATCCAGCTGTAAGAAATAAATTACATCGCATTTAAGTAAGCGTGAATTCACCTTTTGGCCGTCGTATAGGTTAATGGCCGTTCCGAATTGTGGATCAATCTCGATAACATCCGGTTTATTGGAAGAACGTCCCGACCATCCAGCGTACGCTGTGTGAGAATTAGAATTATCATCATTCCAAGATAATTCCAGAACGATGTCTTGTGGTAAGAGCTGATGATAAAAAAAAGCCATGGATTTTTCTTTAATGCTTTCGAAAATCGTGCATAAAATTGGTTGATGAAAGTACCTGTTTCTGATTATAAAGGAATCCGACTAACGAGGGTGGTAGATTGATGAAGCAATTCGAGAATGACACAAAGGATACAATGACGGAAATCTTTTTAGACATTTTTTAAAATTCGAGTCAAACAAACCTAATGATACGCATTATATATACTATTTGCACAGGTTGGATTTGGCCATCGTGATTGGACGAAATTCTCGCGTACTCTGTTAATGTTGTATAAATTAGGGTTTATATACAGTAAATTATATAAAGGTTACAATCGTATATTTAAAGAAAAAATTTTATTCTTATTGTAACTTATTTATATTTTATAAATATTGTAGATTTTCATAAAATCAATTATAACATTAAACAAAAAATAATATGAACAAAAAATTAACTTTTTCAAATATCTAATCCTTTCAATTTTAATTATATTATAATATCTTAATTAAGTAGTTATGTTACATTATATTTATTTTTACTTTTATATTAAATATATCTTTTACAAATAAACTTTTTTAATGGATTTTTTAATAAAATATCAAAAAAATATTCACAAGAAATTTTATATTTCATATTAATAAAATCTTGATACTTTTTTTATTTTTATTTATTTTCTCTTATTTATATATAAAAACTTGATTTTCAATACCTTAAATCAATGAATATTTTTCTATTCATAGTAAGAAGGTCTTAAAAAAAACAAAATCAATAATATAGTATTAAAAAAATCTTTTTTTCAAAAACAATAATATTATATAAAGATTTTTTATAATAAAAAAATAAATAAACAAAACTTATAACTTGAAAACTTTTCTATTTATTACTTTTATTGTTTTATAATAGTTTGATTTTTGAATTTTCTAAGAAATTTTATCTATTTCAGTTTAATTTTAAATTTCAAAGTGATATAAATTCCATTAAATATAATTAATTATAAAATGTAAATAAAATTTTATTGATTATATAATATGTTTTAATAATATTATAGATAATTAAAAAAGTTATTACTTTCTTATTTTTATTCTCTTTAAATAAAATTCAATTCTTTTAACTTTTTGTTTCTTATTCTGATTTCTTGTTTTCTATTCTCACTTAATTATAAATAAATACTTATTTTTCTTTTATATATGCTAAATTTAATTTGTGCTAAATATTTAAATTTAATAATAAATAACTTTAGCTGACAATAATTTAATATGATCATTATATCTTGCTTCTTTTTATAATTTTAATCGGTGTATTCATAAAGTCAAATTTATTGATAATAAGATAAAATTTACATATATTAAGGATATTTGAAGACAATTTATATTTGCTACTTTTATTATAGATATTAAAGGAAAAAAATTTAAAAAAAGTTATATATTGTTCTTGAGATAAATGATAATATAAATATAGTTAACAAAAATTTAGAGAAAAATAAAAAAAATTTTTATGTATATATATTTTTTTAGTTTATAATTATTAATTGAATATGATATGACTAATTTTAGTTGTAATTCTTATAATAGAAGTTGGCTTAAGTACAAATAAATCGATATGATCAATTCAATATATTAGTAAAAAAAAATCATATATTAATAATTTTTTTATAAAGTTATATTAATAAATCAAATCTTTAAATTTAATATATAAAATTAAATTAATAGAATCTATTTAATTGAATATATACTATATATGTGTATATATTTAATACAATCCAAGATTGATTTTTATTTTTTTATTAATTATATCTATTAAAATAAACAAATGGAAAAAATAATTGAGTGGTAAAATAGATAAATCAAAAAGATATATAAATAGTAAAATAGATAAATCAAAAAAAGAAAAAGAGTGAATAGGTAATTACAGTAATAATAAATAATATAACAAGAATAATATACTGTAAGTATATTCAATTTAACATAATTCAAGTTTAACTTATGTTACTTTATTAATTCTATTTACTAAAATAGGCAAGTCAAAAGAAAAAACAAAAACAAAAAAAATTAAAAAAAAAAACTCTTTTCGCAAATCCCTC